ATTGGAGTTCTGAATATCCTATTTATGGCTGAGCAGCATAGTTTTGGACCATCGAAACGACTCTGATTACTGTGGGTATGGTTCCTGGTTTCCTGGTCTCGCCTCACCATGGGGTCAGTCCTAACCTGCAGCCAAAATGTCGAGGTGGGTATTGGCAGAGCAGACCTTGACATTTTGACAAAACTGGCCCAGCTGAGGATGGAATTGTATTCAAAACGCCACCAAGCAGGTGTCATTCGCTTTGCTACTGATAGGAACGACCTCTGCTCCAAACGATGAGTCATCTGTGATCATTGGACTTCATAGGTTCGTGATGGACCTGTTCAGTTTGGATATATGACTGGAATTCGTGAATTGGGGGCATCTCATGGAGGAACGTTCCATGGTAATGTACTGGAGGCATGGGCAGATTAGGAAATTTCTGGACACAATGACAGTATGTGTGGTGTGTACATTCAACACTCAAGGATGTCTTTGCCATTCGAACTCATATCAAAATCTCGCGACCCAGCTCCCTCATTCTGAATGAACCGTTGGTTCTGCAGGGGCAGCTCTTTGAGGTAGGGCTAGCGAATCCCAGCCAGATCAGTAACCATGGAACTTTTAAAACGTGCTTAGAGCTCACAGGGTTCTATTTGGAAGGATTTGCCAATAACAGTGTTGAGTTTGGATATCTTGATATAAACTCTTGGAGCACAAAGGCAGAAATGCCATTCTAATTGGAGAAGAAGCAGTACACATTAGGCAAGGAGGTAGCTATCAGCCCCTTCTCCATCAGAAAAAGTGGTGTCGATGACTTGTTCAATGTGAACACAAATCAATGCTGCAACCAAGCTAACCACTGCAATGCTGTCCAACAAAACTCGCAAATTAATGACTTCACAAAATTCACGAGTCTTATCATCGTGCGATGTACCGTTGATTTCTTGCCTAGCTCTGTAATGACCAGGGCGTCACAGAGCTATTGCCAATAGCTCTTTTCAATGAAAATGACGGATGCAGCAACACTATGTGATATTTCAATAGAACCTTCAAAGCGCCTTCTTTGAAGGAATGGAAAAAGCCATGCTGACACAGTTTAAAAAACAATACACACTGCCCTCAACCGAAATCATTTGTCACATCCCACAGGCATGCACTTGCTCCTTGTGGTGAAGATGATAGGCAAACAACATTCCCAACAACAGTGATAACATATCAAGCAAACAATGTAATTTACCAAAAACTTCGTGTGAAGTGCGAAGATGGCCTGTGAAGGAAAAGTAGCTGGAGAAACTGAACAGGCAGTTAAAAACTACATACTGTGCACTGGGAGAAACAGGTGAATGTGAAGCCTTTGGTGAGTCCATGCGATGTGAGAGTGGGCAATGCCAAACCTGATCAAGTTGACGGCCACATATTTTCTTCAGGTCCTTTATGCTTGGACGTGGTCGAAGGGTGACGATCTTCAACACCCACCGCGCTTCCCAGATGGCAGCCGTGAGGATGCTGGTGCACAGAAGCATTTTACCTCTGCCAGAGACCTGCTGAAAGCAATAGAAATAATAAACTCATTCTGACACTTTAGCCTTGTAATTTGCACTATCCTTGGTGACGCAGGTCCAAAAGGTAGGACTGACTGCATGATCTGAGCTCGTTCTATGGTACCACACACCTACTGAGACGGCGACGGGGGAACGATTCGACCTAACGGGGAATCCCTACCAACTGCACTTTACAAAATCTGGTCAAGCATCCCTCGTACATGTTTGGTGATGTTGGGGTGTTTGCACATCTGCAAGTGTTTGCTCCCACAGTGTCTTAATTGCCTCTCGGCAGCTAATAACCAAAATTCTGCCTGCAACACAAGCAGGACTGTTCATTGTTGTGTCATCCCAATGATCTAGTGGGGTTGCTGCCTAAACCTGATTGTGGAAGAGTTCAAAAGGACCTTATTACGAAATGAAAACAGAACCTGGACCTTCCACCATCTCCGCTTCTAATTCATGGACCCTGTTGGCCAGTGTCGATGTTGAAAACAGCAACAACAGAGGGGTGGCACACGGGTACAGAACTCGACCGATGTCGACCAAATGGCATCAACGCGTTGGCATCATCGGCACCGATGCTCCCTCGAGCATCAGCTTCGTTGGCCACATCGGCCAACTGGCCAAAACGTCGGCCCCGTTGGCCACATCAGCGCCGTCGACCATCGCCAGCCGTCGGCAGCCGATTGCCGCCACGGGCCAAAGAGGAGGGGGAGGATTAGGCCGTCAGCACCGTCGTGCCGATGCACCAGCGCATGCCTGCCGATCTCAGCTGGGTTATGGACACAGTGTGGAAAAGAGCCGCGATTCACAATTGCTACAAGGGGAGCGTGTGCGCTGTATGACATGCTCGCCGTTTCCGGTCAGCAAAATCTTCGTTCTTGTTCTTTGCAAAGGTGACCTTTGTCAAACTAGTGGCTGCCTCTAGCCAGGCACTGGATGGTGTAAGTGCTCTAGCAAAGCACTTTACAATGTACACACCCATGTACTGCACTGCAAAGTACCCATGTTCCAATTGCTGGAAAGGTTTTTACAGCACAACAACAAAAAAGATGTTGTAGCGCTAACCATGACAAAAGGCAGTATGCTGAATTTCTTCAGATGAGTATTTATCTGGACGTTCACAGCACAACTGTCACTATCATATGGCAACATACCCCACGAGTGGTTTGGAAGAGGATAGCAGCCAGGCACCACACAATGCAAGACTTGAACGAGAAGAGCATGGGAATAATTGAACCCCAAAGGGTCCTGTGAAGTGATTTCTGAGCATGAACCTGCAACAACACAGGGTGCTTCAATAAAGATGGCAATGATGAGGAAATAACCTGTTCAGTTCTGAAATGCCGGCTTTCATCACATACAAATCGTGGGCAACTTTGATAGCAGCAAGCAACACTCAAGATGGCAGTTAATGCTGTCAGCTGGTAGGTTCACCAACTGTGGTATGTCCAGGCCAACCACCGCACAGACATTATGCAGGGAACAGTCCTTGAACAGCAGCTGCAATGACTTGAATAAAACATACAATCGCAGCATCAAGAATAAACCGTCAACAATCACAAGAAACAAGGTGGGCGACAGGGAACGTGTGGCAGATTCACAACCATGCTGTATCATGCTGAACATTAAGCACACAACATGCAGGCACAAACATCTGTAGAACCATCTTCGGTAAATGTTCTATATTGAGCACATCCTAGCTTGAACCAGCACTGCACATGACAACCTCTGCACTTACCTTGTCAGTTCGCAGCATTTGCAGCACAGAAAGGCGGCTGCAAACCTCTGCCATCGTAGGCCTCTTTTCAGGATCCAAATGGCAGCACTCCTTCATCAACGAATGCATTTCCTCAGGGCAGTCAGCTGGATCAACAACACAGGGTTCCTGTCCGTCAAGCTTCTTCTTCATAATGTGCTGGTCATTGTCTGGTTGAGACACCGATTGCAGTCCGTACAGCTCCTTCCCCGTGACGATTTCGTACATGATCAATCCAAAGCTGTACACATCGGAAGGGAGCGAAAGGAGCTCTCCTTCGAAAACTTCAGGCGCCACCCACAGACAAGTCCCTCGCGGCCTTCTAGCAGTCTTCCACCTTGCCTCTGTGACTTCACATGTCAGTCCAAAGTCAGTTATTTTGACAATGCATGTGGCTACATCGCTTCCAAACACCAGGAAATTGGGGCTCTTCACATCACAGTGGGCCATTGGTCGATCTCCACCATGCATATACCTCAGGCATTTGGCTGCCTGTAGCAAAATCCTCACGTTCCATGGCCATTTGGGACAGAATTTTCTGCAGAATGCTTTCAGATCCATGTCTGCCAGCTCCATCAGCACACTTCCTGACTTGGTAATTGCAAGCAATTTGGCAACGTGGCCATCTCTCAGGGACATATGGACAAGAACGTCCTTGAAAAACGTTGCCATGTTCTCAATATCTACTTCTCCTCCTTTCTTCACAAACTCCTTCATGGCCACTCGGTTTCCCCTGTAGGTACAGGAATGCACAACACTGACCCCACCTTCACCCACAACCGCTGCTTGGCAAATCTCCTCATCATCGACTTCTGGCAAGCCCTTCATGCGGGCAACATGCTCCTTCCTACTGTCCTGCCATTCCTGGGGAATCTCAGCAAAACTCACAAAATCTTCATGTACCCCTCTAAGAACAAAATTGAGCAGTTTTGCCAGTGTGTCTCTATCTTCAGAAAATGCTTTTCCAGGCACTTTCACTTTAACGTTTTGTGTGTCCTTCAGTCCCCATTCTCTGGCAACCACATATAGAGAGTCACACACGTGTTCCACAATGTCTCTTGCCTCAACACTCTGATAGAAAGTGCTGATGTCAACACGTTCTTCGTGTTTGCGAATGAGCCTATGCCCTTTCTCCCGTGCATTCTCAAATTCCTTCAGATAATCTTTGCTTGCCCCTCTGGGTGCCTTTAAAGCATGTACCTTTTCCAGCTGACGGCTCAGGAAACCCATCATATTCTTGTTATACTTTGCGCTTGCGAGCTCATGTAGAGGCTCTTCAAGAATTGCTGGATTCTGTTGCAAAATGCAACCACTTTACTTCAGCATGCCCACTATTCACAGTCGCATATTCAATTGCTGTCCCCTTCTTGGCATAGAACAGGAGAAGCTGTCAGGAGCAACACCATCAGACACCAGAACTGGTCTCCACAACAAAACAGCAAGCATTCTTGCAAGATGTGGCTGCAATACGGGCCCAGCAGTGCCTAGTGACCCTTGCTCACTTCCCATTTCAAATACATACAAGCAGTGCAACAAAGATAAAATAGGAACAAAAAGTGGACATGAGGGTGTTGCACATGACAGCTGTGCACTGAGGACAACAGTGGAGAAAGGGTGTTGCTAGTACTTATTAAGGAACAGCAAGGACAACCAGGCCCACAGGTATGAAGGAAGACTGTATGCCCTCACACATGAGCATGAGCATCATACAGGCCGCACCTGTACAGCCGTGTCCCTCGATGCCTCATAGCATTGTGCCAATGTTGTCAAGCGTTCATACACATCCTCCATCGATGGGGGTCTGGCAGCTGGAACAACAGAGCAGCACTCTGCTATGAATTCTGCTAGCCCTGTTGGACAGTCACTGGGCAGCTCCCAGGGAGGTTGCCCAACTGTCTTTCTCTGTGACAACACTGAATGGGGAGTGCCTGTTCTATATAGCTGCATTTCTGCAACCAGCATGTTTGCAACAATGCCAAAACTGTAAATGTCACTCAGAAAACTGTTCGGAGCCCCATGCAACACCTCAGGAGCACCACACTTAACTGCCCCAGCTTCAGACACCACATTGTTTGCATCAGCACTGCTGTTTGTTGAAAATTGAAGAAGCCTGATTTTTACCTCTAACGGGTTTCCCTTGAACACAATGAACTTCCCAAGTCTAACGTCACGATGCACGATGCCCTCATGGTGGACATCTGCCAGAGCCGATGCAGCATTCTGGAGCAGCTGTAGCTTCAGCTTCATGCCCCCAGATCTGTGGTGCTTGAACCACGTCAATATGTCTGCTACCCCCTTCTCCATGACCAGCTTCCCTGAACCAGTGAAGCCATAGAGACGGACAACTGCAGGAGAGTTAATCGACGCCTTGGTTGCTGTGTACAACCTGGCAAGACCCACCAAGTCTTGGTGGTTGCCGTCGCACCTCACCACATTCTTCACCACATATTCCCTCCCCCTCCGCTTGCACGAATACACTGTGCCAGAAATCCACTGGCCCACAACAATTTCTTCATCAGCAAAGAACATACGCGACAGCTGTTTTTCATGAACTGCCTTTGCCTGCTTGGATTCTTCAACAATGTCTTCAGGAAACCCATCTAAAGAGTATTTCTTCAAACCAAGAATGTAGCCAAGGCGCTCCTCCAAAGCCCTCCTGTCATCATCGACATCCTTTGGTGGCATGCAGTTCTCAATCCTCACCCCATCAAAACCACACTCTTCTGCAAAGGCAAGGAGGGAGCTGCAGATCTCCTGCACAACAACTTGCACCTCTTCGGCAGTGTAGAAGTTGTCAGGCTGCAAACCTTTATTGTGATGGCAGATGAGCATCTCCCAGAGGCTCATTGCATGGGAAAGTCTTTTATAGCATGCTCTCCTTGCCGAGCCCTCTTCTGCCACCTTCGCACTGTCCAGCATTTCTGAGATGCCCTGAAACGAGTTTAGCTTGTCCATCTGCTCCTGTAGAAATGCAAGGCTCCTGAGATTGTACCTCCAGCATCCCTGCATAAAAGTGAACCATCAACAACTGCATGATGTGCATTGCGGTCATCAGCGCCACCTTGTAGGCACCAGATCATCTGGTGACTGGCTCCATTTAAACGTACACAGCATTTAACAAACAAGAAGGCCTTCTTCTGAAAATCCACAAGTACAGCTTCAAGAAGTCGGATGCATGCAACACTGATTATGCCCAACTGCTCTGCGTACCCTTGACAAAGGTTTGATAAAGCACAGCGCAAACTGGATGTGGTGAAGGGAGCACGCCCCTCACTGCAGGCAAAGTCATTCCAAGGCCCCCCCTGCCAAGGCCCCCCTTGGTCAAAGACCTTGCCCAGACTTCGTTCCTTCAACACCAGGTCACCCAAAACTCTCACAACAAAAACAGCAGCCTGCAGATATGGTTGCTGAATCCTCATGACACTTGCAACAATTGCTTCAGCTTTCGCAACATTCCACGCATCAACACCTTGAGTGGAGTGAGCTTCAGATTACAAACTCCCCAGTGAGGCAAGCACTCACCACTTGAGAGTGGCAAAGGCCAGTGACCCCCTTTGGGTAGAAATGATTGAACAAGGGTGCCATCTGGTCATCCACTGTGTCAAGGGCACTAGCCAGTCATCGCAACATTCCCAGGAACTGTAGCCTACGAAGCACATCAACACCAAAACTGAAATCAGCTTCTTGGGAAATTCTCCTGTGAAAGATGCACATCGGCTGTTCAAAAGTTGTGCCCTGTTTTTGGCAAACGGCAGAAAAGAACACAAGGACTTAAATCAATACCACCATCTGCCCTGTCCAAATATACAATGCACCAACCATTGCAGCTAATTGTTCCATGCTAAGGTACCACGTTTGCAGAGGCAACTTCTGCCCAAACTTGGTCTGATGACCAGTGATCGGGATGTTCTATTGACTGTTCCATTGTTCTGTTTTTGTTGTATATGTCTTCAAATGGTAGTGGTATATTTGCACACATTGGGTATGCTGAAGTGGCCTGATCATCTAAGTACAGCGAGACACGCGCCATGACCAGTTGTAGGTTCCCGAGTTGCATACAAGGATCCACTTACTGATTCTCAACTTTTGGCGGTGCCAACCACACAGACACATTCCCACACCCCCACAGCGAAGCGCACCCCTTCCCGAGCCATCCCCTTCCGCGTGTGCGATCTGACTCCACCCTTGCCAGACCAGCATCTGGTCGGCTCAACGGTTTTCAGCACTTGCTCCGTCGACAGCAGCTGCACGTCGCCTACCGATCCCGTCGACACCGTCACGCCAAGGAAATAAAAACGTGACAAGGATCGCAAGCCGAGAAAGCGCGTCTTGTTGAAGCCAGCGGAATCGCGGGAGGACTGCCAGATGGAAACAAAATAGCAGCGCACTCGGAACTGGCACCAACAAACCCGACACAAGCGGGCAAACCGGCATTTTGGAAGCGCTCCCATCGTCGCTGTGATCGCGACGCGGGCGTGAAATTCCCCCCGCGACCGATGGTGCCTCCAGTTCACAGCGCTGATGCCGACTGAGCAGGGCGCGATCCGCCAGGTCAGCCAAGTAACAGCCCCTCGCCCCGGCCCCCGGGAGCAATGGGCATCGTGGGAATGCTGGTCCGCTGGAATCCACCGCCACACGCAATGAGAAGTTAGACGCCCTGGACCACGCCGGATGAAGGTAGGAGCGAAGGCGCAACAGCTCACAATTCGAGAGGTTGCTGGCAGGGAACTCAGGTAGAAATTCCGTGCAACGAAGGGCGGAAGGGCATCGGCGAGCCGGTGTGCGTGGACGAGAATACGCAATTTCATGGCACCCGCCTTGTTTGCCAAAGAGAAACCCACCTGTCGGAATCTCCACGCTGCCACGGGACAGCGCCACAGCTCTGAATCGAGAGGTGGCTGCCCCTGACGCCGCTGCAGTCTGAGGTGCCGCCGACGGCGCTGTCCAAACTTTGAGGGACGAGCTTCCCGTGGCTAGGCTGCCCTCGGGCAGGCCAGACAATATCCAGGGAATTCGCAGCAGGAGCACACACCGTTAGCCAGGACACACAGGGACAGATGGTCGTTGGGAACGCTCCAGCGGAAACCTTGGCCCTTGTGAATGGAAGCTCAGTTGAGCTTTGGAGGATTCGGGTTTCAAGCCGCGTATAAACAACAGTTTGGAAGTCTGGTCGAAGGCATCATGCCTTCTGTCCCGGCGGTGAAATTTACCCCGAAGGATAGTCGGAAGTCTGTTCGAAAGGCAAGATAAGCCGGTCATATGGGGGTTCGAAATCTGCGGGGTCGCTGTTGTTGCCAACATTTGTGTACACCCCTCTCGTGTCGCTGGACTAGGTTGTGGTTAGTGAGGAGTGCATGTGCGCGCAACCTGTACGCTCTCCTAGCCATAAGAAGCCTTAAGAGGCCATCAACTACTGCATTGACTGAATCCGCTGAGAGCTTGGTTGAACACGTGAGCAGGGCGTAAAATTGAAACGCTGCTTATGCGCTGATCCCTTGACTCTTTGACGTCCATTCACAAATGGATGGGCGGCCATTTGATCAGATGGCCGCCACCAGGTCCATGGCAGTCGCCATGAATCCTATGGCGCGAACCCTCTAACGGGACATCGTGTCAGAATTGGAAACGAGCAGGCGAACTGTCACTAAATGGAGTGCTCCACAGATGCACATATTCAAACGAACATGGTCTGCTATTCACATTGTACAAGATGTGCATTAGCGTGGTATATCTTTGCAGTACTGTAGTGCACTGCGACATCACAACATAGCACCGAAACTAAACCGTAGTGTGGCACCAATCGAACATGATGTTGTGTTTGACATGGCCGCAAATGCAGAAGTCGGAGTAAGTTTTGCAGATTTTTGCGCTTTGAGAGCTGTAAACGAAGAAATGCACTGGTCAGCATATAATGCTTTGGTGGTACTGAATGGCGGCTGCAAGGTCCGTGCACACTGTTGCGCACTGTGTCGGTTTGTACCAAAACTGAACGGTGGATTATGGCAAACAAACTCTGGGAATGCGCAGAACTGCTCTTTGTGGCACGTTGTGGCAATCGAGATGATAGTAAAAGGAAACGAGATTTCGAGTGGTACAATTAAGGGATTGTGCGCTCCAGCCAGTTTGTTCGAGCGAACGGGTGACTTCAACGGTGGTGGATCTCCTAATCGGTTGCTTCCGTTGTAGAAGACTTTTTGATGTGGTGATATGCACTTGCCGTACGTATGGCAGGTATTCCTGTTGGAAAAGATAGAAGGGGAGGAACCCAGACCAGTGACTACCCATCAGCAGGGTGGGGCGGTTTTGATGCGCCACTGCAGCATCATCACCCGCACATTACCACCCTTCCAGGTACATGTCACAACAGCAGCGTTTTCTCCATCACAATACAAAGATAGGCCGGCAAGGCTCGTCCGTCAGCCAATTTTATCTGGCCATGTTTTCCTACAGTCCGTTCGTCTCCAAACCTGGCAGCAAGAAACTGTCACAAGCAGCAAGCAATGGCCCTGGCACTGGGTTGGGGTGGCTGCCACAGCTCTTGCCGCTGGAGCCTTCATCGAAGCAGCAGCGGGAATGGAGGTGCTGGCGCATGGAACTTTGCACCAGCCAACTTGATGTGACAACGGCCAAGCACCAAAGCGACCGCTGCTTGCCAGCGTCAGCGGCTACCGGTCGCCACAATCAATGGCTGCCTTGGCCACGGAATGCCAGCAATTGCTTCACTGCAGCTCGGGCAATGGCGACACTGGCACCTGACTCCATGGTTCCAACTCCGCCCCCCCACATAACTCGACTCCACCTACCTCCATGGCGCCCATTTCCAGTTGCTGGATGAGGGCTGTACGCCAGTGCGTGACCAGCACTCGCTTACTGCACAGTGCGCGTCCGGATATAAACCCAGGTAAGGCCAACGCGTTCGTGGCCCCGAGACATGTTATCCCAATTTTAAAACCCATCTCTATTGGAACGTCGCCTTCCTCAAATACCACTTGCTCACTGCGCGTTTTGGGGTCAGAGAGGCAGTATCCCCCTGTCTGCAATTTTCAAAGACACTGAAAACATAACACAGATTAACACGTCCATGTTCGGCCACGAAGTGATTTTCTCAATCTGTCTCAACCACGCCCCTGGCAACCATATGTCACATATCTTTGGCGCCTCGCAGTCCATTCGCTCGGCCTTTTCCAGCTTGTCCTTGACATTTGCGACGGGCACCTCTGCCTGCTTCCTGCACAGTTGGGCCAAGTTGCGCATGGTGGCAGCAGACTCCAATGGATGGCTGTCGATGTTGTAAATCTCCAAGGCTTCATCACATGCCCTCTCAGCCTCTTCCAGCCGATTTCCCTGCTCCAAAAACAGCTCCCAAGTGGTTCAAACAGGCAGCGCAATCAAGGTGACGAGGGTCCAGAGCCTTCTTGGTCACCTCCAGCTGTCATTGACAACAAGCCACAGCTTCGCTCAACTTTTCGTCCAGATGCAGCGCCGCAGCCTGATGTCTCAAAGTGGTAGCCAGGCATGGATGGCAGCTGCCCAGCTGAGATTCTTGAATCTTCAATGCACATGTGTGATGGTTCACGGCCTCCTAGTAATTGCCTTGGCACTGGCACGCACAACCCACACAGTCAAGGCACTCCGCGCCACACCAAGATATTTTGCATTCAACTTCGGTCCTTCATGATCAGGAGCTTTCTCACCCTCACTGCCTGTTGCTTTCCTTTGCCGTCTGCCTTGTCGGGCCACTTGAGAAGCATGTTCAAAGAAGGACACGGTCTTTTGGAACTGTCTGGAACTAATTTTGGAACGACGCCGGCTGGATTTAGTCTGCTTGTGGAATTGCCCTTCAGGTTCTCCTCTTGTCCCCTTGTGCGGCTCCAGTTCGGCCTCTCTTCTTTCCAATGCTCTTTTGTACATTTTCTCAGCCTCCGGGTATCTACGTTGTGCCATAACCTTTCCTCAAAGATCTAGGAGGGTCGTGGCGCAATCTAACCCACTTTCCCTTGAGATTGTGAAGCCGCACCCCTCTTCCATTGAAATGTCTTGGCCCAGGCACTGCAAACAAAGTCACTACACTTGGTCATGCTGACTGCAACAGTGCGGCGAGTTGTCATTTCCACTTTAGCGGCCACCTCACTCGTGATGAGATACTTTAGGTCCAGGTTATGTGTCCATGGTATAAGGAATCCGTCATTACTAATCAAGTCAGCAAACTTCTAGCAGTTATTCCCAGCACACCTGTTTATCTGTCAAAGTGTATGGATCGAACGACGTCCCTTAGTTCGAACTGAGATGCATGCTGCAGGCATGCAAGCACAACAACCGGTTTCATTTCTCATCACCAAGATCATGGAACATGTAAGACATTTTGATGATCATGATGCGACACAAAAACTTATTGTTGAAACTGCAGTTGTGCCACTCACGACAACAGTGGTGTAAATGCCGTTCTTGGTACGAATTTCATTGCTAAGCCTAATCGGTAGGGCACAAACAAATCCATTAATACAATTAGCAAATCGATTGTGTGGACACGCAAAATTTACGCAACCTTCATGAAGTTTAGTAAATCACAATATATTACCTCCTCA